GCATTATGTAAAGGTACAATTCCCAATGAGAAATGTAATTGTGTTGTATACCTACAATGTACCAATAAAAGAATTTAATAAAGTGCAAAAAAAAAAAAAGAAAAGAAGTTAGCTTTATCATAAACTGTCACCTTTGTATAATTTCTCCCAACCCTAAGTCATTTTGTTTCAGAATTTTGAACAAAAAAATTTCTTAAATTTTTTGAGTAATCCATTAAGGAATTTCATTCATTACTGAGTATTTGTTCTGTTGGAGCCTAAGAACCCAAGACTGAAGTAGACTTGATTGATGAGATGAAGGGGTAATGGAGAGGGTGGAGTTAAGATTAATACAAACTTCTGAGTAGGGCAGCTGAGTTGTGTTATATCCTTGAAGAGCAAACATGGTAGAAAATGAATTTTTTATGGTTTGCTCTTAGAAAAATTACAATACTTCTCTTTGTCATGATGTTTCATACATAAATTATAATAATTTTATCTACCTCATCTTGTCATCAAGAGTATTAAGATAAAATGAGGAAAGTAGAATAACCTCTGACACACAGAAAACACTCAGTACAGGTTACCTGTTATTATTGCTTTTGAGTTTTAAATGTCTGAGATATGTTTAAGACAGTTGTTTATGAGAGATTAGCTTTAAGAAAAAAATTGATATTTGAGATTTCCTAGGGAAAGAGAAAAAAGGTCAAAAAAGGCATCTAGAGCAATACCTATATTTAAGGGACAGGCAAAGGAAGAAGAAGCATATTATTCCACAAAGAAAAATAAGAACGATTTTTTTAAAAGTCTGACCTCCAGATATATACATACCATATCATTTTTTCTGTGTGAGTTAGCAATTTACAGTAAAACCTAGAGCAATTGTAAGGATTAAATGAGCATCTAATGAAAGGTAGTAAAATTTAGGCATGCAACCTGTATCAGCCTTCCCCACCACCTGCATTAGGGTTTAGGTGGAGGATCCTACCCTCAAATCTTCTTTGCACAAGGCTTGTATAGTTTCTACTCTATTAAATCTTCTACCTTTGAAAGTATCAGGATTATTCTTTCAATTCTTCTTTGCTACTGTCCAGTAGCTGCCCTTATATCTTCCATACTATGATACTGCTCAGTCAGATAGAACCACACTGATTGATTATAAGGTGAGGAGATTCCAGGATATAACATTTGTAGGTATAAGGTTTTATTAATATCAGCACAGTTAAGGTTTTTAGCATCCTCTACTTTCAATCCCTAGTTTATTTCTCTCTTATCTGTGGCTCAGATAGCAGTTTTGTTTCTGAGAAAATACAGCTTTCTTCAATTATTGTTCTCAAGTTTTGGCAGAGGTGTGCTCTGAATACCAGCTGAGATCCCAAAATGTTTGCCACTTATGGAAATCTACTGGAACTTGAAAAATTTTTCCTCTTCTTTTCTTTTTTCTTTTCTTTTTTTTTTTTGGTACCGGGGTTTGAACTCGGGGCCTTGTGCTTGCGAGGCAGGCGCCGGAACCACTGAGCTAAATCCCCGGCCCCTCTTGTTTTCTTTTTGACTGGAACTCGCAATCTGATTTTTACTACTGTTTGTCAGTAATGGACTATGTGATGATTTGAGGCAATCCAGCTCTAAAAATTTTCAAACATTTAATTTTCTCTTCTTGTCCTATTTCTGTTAAAATAATTGAGTTGAAGTTAATGAAAATTAAATTATTATAATTTTATAACTAAGTATAAGAACAAAGGGATACATTTCTAGAAAACAGAAAATATATACCTACAGTTACATGTCAATAATAATTACTGTCAAAGCCACAGGAGTGTTTCAACCTATTGATAATTAGTCAACATTTGATTCATTGGCTTTGAACTAGTAAATGGAAACTGACCAGAAAAAGTCTTTTCAAAGGGCTTATATTTTTTAGGTTATAAGATGATTCAACATAAGAAATTCTTCGATACAATATTATGTAAGTTCTTTAGACTAAACTTAGTACTTACAATGCAAGCACACATGTGCACGTGCGCGCGCACACACACACAGTTTGGGGATAGGAATAATGGTATATTGTGCCTTCACCTCTAGAAGGTATATGTGCCTTTATTGCCCCTTTAGTCAGGCGTCTTGTAGGTATCAATGCTTTCTCTTTCTCAGGTGCTGCCTGGGCTGTCGCTGTAAGATCTGACAGGAGGGTTTACAGAATAAGATTTGGCTTCAAGCTTTAGGAAAGTAGAGCATTGTTCGTAGTCCTCTAGTTGAAAGCATGTGCCAAGGAGCCTTGAGCCTTCAAGGTTCTTAAACTTCATGTTAAAGAATTCTCTTTATGTGATTGACCTCCCAATCCAGGGCTGGAGTTCACACCCTTTTGATGACTGGCTTTATGCAATTTAACTAGCCCTAATGTGTCAATCTAAATAGTATTTAGGCTGTCTCAGCTGTCTCCAGTTTTCTGGCTTTACAGATGTTAACATCAGGCAACTGTGTTGTATAGTTTCTGATAAGATGGTGGGCCCTCTCTGCTAGGCAGTCAGCCCTCCTGTGCTGGTATTAAGTACTGTGGTCAGAATTGAAACTGAAGTTATAATTCAACTAATTATTCTGAGTAAAGAAATTACTGGAAGTTTTCTTTATATAGCTTTGTTTTCTACAGTGAGCATGTATTCTTTTTTATATTAATTTTAAAATAAGAAAAAGTTATACAATTTTTATATTTTCAAAGTTTTTCTGGCTAATTTAATCCTACCAGCCAACAAATTTCCATTCTGAATAACTCTGCAACTCTTTTATGACACAGCAAATCTGGAAGCTTTTCCGAGGGTTTGCTTTTACCCTTCTTCAAACTTATCCTATACTTATGTCTCGTAAACCTTACAGACCTGGTTTCCTGGTTTTATTGCCATCTTTCTTCTTAAATTTGATGTTAGTATGTTTATACCTCATTTCATATCTGATATACTTTTTTAGTTTCACAGGAAAGAAAGAGAATGGATTACTATATATGATATAAAGTTGGGATGGTTTTTGGTGTTTTGCTCATATCTTATAGATTTCCTCACATTAGTAGGTACTGTGAATTTACTATTATTAAATTAAGTTAGTTTTATCTATGTAATCATTTGTTCTTTTTGAATCTCAGCCATGCTTATGCTTGAAAATTTACTAATGATCTTACCTTTCATTCTTGTTCATTTGCAGGGAGAGAGAGGATTTCCAGGTTTGGAGGGCCATTCAGGTTTGCCTGGATTTCCAGGTCCAGAAGGGCCTCCAGGGCCTCCAGGTCAAAAGGTACGAGTAATGTTGCCAACCAGTAATACCAGAGGAATTGAGCCATTTTAAATGTGAGACTAGGTGTCAAATCAACTATAAAGTAGAACTACAGTAAGAAACTAATATTTACATCAAACAATGGAATAGTGGGGAGTCTAAATTGTTGGATTTTTTTTAATTGTTGGATTTTTTGTAATTTAAGTTACTGCTGTATTTACACTGTTTTAGAAAATGCTATTAATTGTATATGGTTATTGAGAGCTTTAACAAAAATTCAGTTCTGTCACAAGCTTTGCTGATTTGGACATAGCAGGGCTGCCCGACGTCAGTGTAGCTGATTAAGACAGCAAGACACAGTGAAAGTAACATTACTCATTCGCTGCAATATTATAACAAAGAAGTAAAACCAGAGAAAGTACCAACTCCCTCACTGTTCCATTTTCCTCCCATGGCACAGCAATGGTCAGAGGGATCAGCACAGAGGTTAGGAATCCTTTCCCTGTTGGGAGAGATCAGAACATCAAGAAAAAACTCCTGCAGTGGTATAGACCTGTGGCAGGGTGGGAGAAGGGAGAAGGGTTAGGAGTGGAGAAGTACTGAGTCAGAGCGCAGAAAATGTATCTTCAGGGCTCCCCTTCCCATACAAAAGTCTCCACCAATGGCCCTGGATAAACTCTATCAGCATAAAGCACAGCCAGCCCAGGGAGCCTGAGTGAGTCCTTGACAGCTGCTCCCTTCAGAGACTGCAGTGTATTATCTGTACACCAAATTTGGTGTGGAGAAGGCAGCCGTCCCCCATGAGGCCTTTGGTTGGGCTTGAAAAAAACCACATAAAGTTGTTTTAAAAAGACCCATACTTAATTGTATCACTTGATTTTTCAAGACCTGAATGAGAAACATAAGCTTCCCTATCATGGGTCTGAGTGGGTGGGACTTTAAAGGGTTATGTAGAAAACTGGTCTGTCAGTCTGAGACCACAATGATTTTAAAATATTCCAAGTAGGATGCCACATCTGTTTGGAAGATTGAATGATTACCATGCTCCCCAACTATTGTCAAGCCAAGAGTAAATGTCCTCTAGCCCAGATGATTTACCTTTGAGGGCCAGGAAGCCTTTTTTTTTTCTTAAGTGTTATGCAGGACTACTTTCGTTTTTCACTTTTAGTGACCTAGGTGCAACATGAGGTGCTGGCAATCAAAGGAACCCCTCCTTTTTTGACCAGCAGGAGGTTAGGTTGCATACTAAATGGTTACCACTACCTGAGCCAATGAATTTAGACTAGTCTGTTATGCTCCCAAAGCTGAAGTAAAGTCATTAATATCCTTAGCAATGGTCAAGGACATGTCCAGCATCACCTTCTCTAAGTGAAGGACTGACCATGGAAACATTGCCTGGGAGCATACCTATGAGAGTCTGTAATGCCACCTAGAAATTCTTCTGAGTAACCAGAGTTTATCTGGTTTTGGAGTCCCTGTCTTACACTATGCAGTGTGAAATGCTTAATAAGAAGGAATGCTTTGAGTATTTGAGAATCTTTTATCAATATACTATATAGGCATATTCCATTAGTAGGAATAATAAAGGTCTAAGTTTTACAAAATTAATATTGCAATGGGGATATACACAGTTCTGGGAATGTATGTCATTGATTATCTTGGGGGTCAACCAGCCAGACCCTCCTGATAGGTAGAGCTCTTGAGAGAAATTGGTGTATTACATAACAGATCAAAACAGCAAAATGCCATACTCCATATCCTTTTTCTCAGATGTTTCGGTTGCTTCCATTTTGGACAAGAGACGTTTGTCATCTGAGAGGGAATTTTGTTGCTGTGGTGTCTGAGTCCAACTGTGACAACAAATTAGGTCCAAAGTAATACAGTTTGGGTACCCAAGGAACAAAAATGGTCCACAATTAGAAAATTATCCATATATAATACTCAGCTGCATAGCAATCAATATACTTACTTATGGTGTTGGGTAGTGAGTGAATTATCCAGCAGTTTTGTCAAATTCAGGGTGGTGATGACTACCTGGGAGAGGCAAATCAATGAATTTGGCAAGGAAGCGGTCACACAGGCTATTCTGTGGAGAGAGAAGAGAAGTTAGATTCATACCTTCCAACCCCATATCCAGGCTCTTGGATCCCAAAGTGTTCTCATCCTATTAGATGGGGGAATCATTAATTGCAATATGGGCAGTCTGTCCTGTACTATGATCAAGGAAAGCATCTTTATATACATATTAAGATAAGGAATGAGAAGAAAGAATGGTGAAGTTTAAGATTGAGAGAAGTTTCTTTTTGTTTTTAATGGCTCTTTTGGCTCAGTGCCCTTTTCCATCTGTATTAGGTAGACTGGTGAAGTAATGTATGAAAGGGCCAGTTCTGTCCATGTACCTGTAAAAGAAAATTGGCTTTAAACCCCCTTTTTTCTAATTTTATTATTTTATATAATGATGGCACATCATATCATTGCAGTATTAAAAATATCAAAAAGATAACTCACCATGTGGCCCTTTCAACAAAGGAAGAAAATCAAATTAAATGCATTATTTTCTTTTAACATTTAACTATGTCAGAGTTTAGATTTTGGGAGAATACTGACCATCATCTTGAGGAGAAGCTAGTTTTGATAGATTCAAAAGCAGGTGGGACCTGTGCTAAATTTGCTTAGTAGAACTTGAACACTGAGCAGACACCAAGATCCTAAATGTTTGCATAGAATTTTAGTAGATGGCCATTCAACTGAATTTCATGTGTCTAATAACACAACAAGAGCAAGAGCAGCAGAATGATTCTTGTGCACCCAGGAGTGGTGCAGAAGTACTTCAGAGCAGTCTGAGTGTCAAGTAAATGCAACTGAGCACTAACTCAGCAAAAATTCATATAAATTTTTATGATATTTCAGTGAATTTTAGCTTGAATCAGACTATTCTGCCCCTTAACACACTGGAACTACATAAGCTTTCCAAAACTTAAGGTACAGTTTTGTGAAAATGAGGTGGGCACTCCAATTGACTAAGTTTAAATTTCAGCTATGTTATGGAAGTGAGTGCTTTGGAATAGAAATTTAGTTGAATCATAGAAAAAGTTATATTAATTGCATCTTGCATTTATCTGGGATTGCTGGCTGAGTTATTTGCACACCACTATTATTTAGGGATAAGTTTTAATAAAGATTCAAATTATATTAAAAGTTAACTACATCAGAATTCTTTTGAAATAATTTAGTATAAACTGGGGCTACTCTACAATTATATGATACTTTGTAAAGATGTTCTTGTATGTGGTTTAAGTTTAGAAATAAATCCAATCATTTGGTGTGATTCCATTTCAGTATCTATAGAGTGAGAAGGTAAACTGCTTTATAAGCTTTTAGTATTCTAAATTTAAAACACTTTGTACTTCTATATCCAGTATGACTTCATATTTCCCAGAATACCTGAATATGTACTTTTTATATGGTTGTGTATTCTGGTATATGTGTATATGTTGATATGTATACTAAGTGAAAATTGTGTAGGGTTATTATTTAATGGTACATTTCTATTTATGAAAGTGAAGATATATGAAACATATATATATATAAATATTTATGTACTTACATAATTTCACAAAGGATTTCTTTTTAACAATAAAACAGGTTTTGATAGGCAATACATGCAATTTATTTAAGGTAAATTAATGTAAGAAGTTACACAGTGAAAATAATCTTCTTTGTACCAGTGTGCATCAGTCCCCGAGTCACATACTCATATTTTACCCCTCTTTATAAAATAGTAACATATTATGTTTGCCTTTCTTTAACTTAATTGCAGATATGCATATACACAGAACTTTCTCAGTACTTTTCCTAACTTCAATGTATTTTATTGTGTATATAAACCATAGTTTAGCAAGCAGTCCCCTGTTGATGATTATTTAGGTAGTTTTCAATTCTTTACAACTACAAACAGACATGGTAAAATGTATAACTTTGATTAGATATCTTTTCACCAATAAGTGATTAACTGTAAATAACTTGCTAGAAGTCAGATATGTATACATCTTTATAAAACTTGCCAAACTGCCCTTCCCAAATTTATATAATTTAGCCTTGGTTCAGAAATGCACAAGAAGATCGAATCAGTTTCACTATAGCTTCACCAATACTATTACAAAACTTTTGGATTTTTGCCAATATGATAGGAAAGTAATATTTCAATATACTTTTTAGTTTACATTTATCTTTTTGAGGGAGAAATTGCTTTTTATAGGTCTGAGAAACATTTGTCTTGTCTCTGACCTGTATATTTATATAATTTGTCCATTACCTACCAAGTTTTTGATATTTTCATATTTCACTGAGCTACAAGGGGTGATCAAAATATGTGGTTAATTTTTGAATTTTTAAAAATTGTTAAAACATTGCCATTAGGCCCCCTCAAAATATTCCCCCTTACTTCAAACACACATTTCACATTGTTCTTGGCACTTTTAAAGCAGTTCTGAAAGATTTCTTTCATGAATGTCTGTACAAGGTGTGATTAAAAAATAGGGTGAATGGCATTGATGAATGCCATCCAGTAAAAAGACAGGCTTGTAGAAACGTTACAGTGTGTCACCATCCACCCTGTTCGGTAGATCTGGCACTCTTGTGACTTGTGGATCTCCTGAAAAATCAAAATGACCACAAAAGGTAAAATATTTTGAATTGATTCAGCAAATTGAGGCACCCACGATAGCACAACTAAAGACAACGTTCACTATTTTTTTAATCATACTTTATATTATATATTATAGAATTTATCTCATTGGCTCTTTGGCTACACTGTGATTTGCATTACTTTCCCCTAGTTTGTCATTTGTTTTTCCTTGGTGTGTGCATGTATGTGTGTGCATTTCATGGGTCTGTTTTTCAAAATCTTGTGGATTTTGAGTAGAAACAGCTTTCCTTTTATGAGATTATATAACTCTCAAATATTTTCTTCCAGTATGTTAATGCTTGCATTTTTTATATGCTTGTTTTTCTCATGCAGAATTTTTCCTGGTATATACCTTGTCATTTGAGATCCACCTTTTTTTCCCATATAGTCTCACAATATCATTTTCCCCATTGATTTGCAGTGCCACTTTTACTGTACATTATTTTCTTATCTTTTTTCACTTTCCACATTTTCAATTACTTAAATCAATCATTGTCTGAAAATATTAAATGGAAAATTGTAGAAATTAGCGGTTCCTAAATTTTAAATAACTTTTATTATGATATATTGTTATAATTGTTCCATTTTATTATTGCCTATTGCTAATGTCTTAATTTATATGTTAAGTTTTATCATAGGTATTCATCCATAAGAAAAAACTATTATATACGTAGGATTTGGGACCATCTACAGTTTCAGGTACCCACTAGGGGTCTTGGAATATATCTTCCTCTGATAAGAGGAGACTACTGTATGCTAAATTCACATGAATATATGAATTTTTTTCCTGAATTTTCCAATGCTCTTCTAATGGTCAGCTTAACGAAATATGAAAACCAAGCTGTTTTACTTATTGAAACCTTATGCTGTATTTTTATATCTGACATGGGTACTGTCCCCATAATGCTCTGTTTTTTTTAGATTTTTTTTCAATATTTTTGCTTATTTATTTTTCCATATGAACTTTAAACCACTGTCTAGTTAAAAAACTCAATATTTCTGTTTTTATTATATCAAATTTATAAAGTTGTTTAGAATTTACTTTTATATATTATATTTAATTATTCAATAACATGAGACACCCTTTCATTTATTCAGATCTCTTGTGAACCTCAGAAGTGTTTTGAACTTTTCTTCTTGTAAATCTTGTATATTTATTATCTCTAATTTATTGTTTTGCTTTTAGAAATTGGATTTTTAAAATTATGTCTTCAAACTGATAGCTGTTGAGATAAGAAAATTATTAATAGAACCCTGGAATTTGAGGCCAGCCTGGATGACATAGCAAGACTGTGTCTCAAACAAAAAAGAATGAAAAAATATTGATTTATTAATATTGGATTTTTCTTTTTTTCTTTCTTTTGGTACCAGGGATCGGTTTTTATACAGTTATCTTATTGAATTATCCTATTCATTTCAATAGTTTTTCTTTAATTATCTTGGGTTTTTTTTCCAGGCATACAATTATATAACTTTGCAAATAGTGGTATTATTGCTTCATCTTTTCTAACGTTTATTTTTATTTTTAATATGTTGTGGGGCACGAAACCACAGGCCTTGCACATGTTCGGCATATTTTGTACCACTGCATGACACCTCCAGTCCCATCTTTCTAATGATGATTCCTCTAATTTTTTCTCTTACATAACCGTGCTTATTAGTATAACCAATACAACATTGAAGCATCCTTGTTTTATTTCTCACTTTAGTGAGAAGGCATCTAAGTATTCATTGAACAAAAGTTTTACAGTAGAATCTGGTGTACTTTAATCTCCTTAGAAATACATTTTTTTGTGGAACTAGCATATTATTAAACTTTTGAAAGTAAAATGTGGTAAGGAGAATAATGACCACCCCTCCCCCTCGAAAGACAGCCATATGTTTATTTCTAGAACTTGTAAATATGTTACATTACATGGAACAGAATTAGATTTTCTTTATTCATTTTTTTTAAAAAAACCAGTTACTAAGATGGACAAAATTTAAACATTTCAGTAATTCTGTTGTGACTAGAAATGTAATAAATTAACAGACACATATAGGTAGCTTTCTTTCCATGGAGTTGACAGCAGAAGCTGGAAAGAAAATTTTATGGTTCTTTCTAGTCCTACTTAAATTCTGCCAATAGAAAATGCCTTATAAAACAAAGGAAAGGTTCAAAACAGCGAATTCAAGAACTGCACGTATTTGTGTATTGGAGTGATGCTGTTTATTACCAGCATGGCAAGCAGATTGAGATTATATGGAAACTGTCCAGACTTACTTTGTTCATGCATAAATGTTTTGAGAAGTATCTATACTTTAATCTCATTTTTGTTTTCTTCCATGGTTCATAATTTATAAATGTAAAGTTTCAGGCCGGGGATTTAGATCAGTGGTGCTGAGCCTGCCTCGCAAGTGCAAGATCCTGAGTTCGATCCCTGGTACAAAAAAAAAAAGTAAAATTTCTTCTACATGTCAACAATTTTCTTTTCATTAAATAAAAGACTTTCTTATTTTTGGTCATGTAAGTATCTCAGTACTCTTATTCTCAATAATAAATGCTTCTTACTTGGGTGTTTATATTTCTCATCTTCACAAAAGTTTACAAAAATTCAAGTCTCACCACAAAAAATTAGTTATTTAAGGGGGGTTTTTTTGAAGGAAAAAACTTGAGTGTATTGTATTTTTCAGGGTGATGTCGGAATTCCAGGACCACTGGGACCAAAAGGAATCAGAGTAAGCAATATTTACTATATATCAGAAGTTTTGTTAGTGGAAACAGATAAAAAACCAATAACAAATGCTGGCAGGGCTGTGGGGAAAGAGGAACCCTGCTCCACTGCTGGTGGGGGTGTAGACTGGTGCAACCACTGTGGAAATCAGTATGGAGATACCTCAAAGAACTAGGACTGGAGGTCCCATTTGACCCCGCTATTCCACTGCTGGGGATCTTCCCCAAAGAATTAAAAGAATCATACCACAGTGATATATGTGCACCCATGTTCATAGCAGCACAGTTTGTGATAGCTAAAACTTGGAAACAGCCCAAATGCCCATCAACTGGAGACTGGATCAAGAAAATGTGGTTTTTTAATAAAATGGAGTACTACTCAGCCATAAAAAATGAGAAATTAGAGACATTTATAGCTAAGTGGATGCACATTGAGGCGATACTCTTAAGTGAAATAAATAGGACACACATGTGTAAATACCCAATAGTTTCTCTGGTGTGAGAAACTGAAAGTGTAAATAAGGACTAAATGTATAATAGGTAATGTGAAATAGGAAGAAAAGGGGCAAAGGGGAAGGAAGTGGGAGGGCTAGGGGAAAGGATAGAAGAGAATGGCATTAATATGAGAAAATGGAAAAATAGGACCAAAATCTTTGTAAATAGGGAGGACTGGAGGGGTTAAAGGGAGGGCTGGGCAAGGGTGAAAAATAAGAACCAAGAGAGACTATGTAAAGGTGCAAATTTCCAATGATGAATGTCATTATATTGTATACCTAAAATGTACCAATGATTAGAATGAATAATCGATAATGTAAAATAGGAAGAAAAGGTCCAAAGGGGTAGGGGTAGTGGGAGGGGCAGGAGAAAGGAAAGAAGGGAAAGGAAAAAATGCTGAGAAATGGAACAAATGGAAATAAAGTCTTTGTAAATAGGGAAGGGTGGAGGGCGTGAAGGGAGGGCTAGGAATGGGGAAAAAATAAGAACCAAGATGCATTATATAAAGGTACAATTCCCAATGAGAAATGTAATTGTGTTGTATACCTACAATGTACCAATAAAAGAATTTAATACCAAAAAAAAAAAAAAAGCAAATGGGGCCAGTTGTGGTGTTGCACGCCTTTAATCACAGCACTGGGGGGGGGGGTAAGGCAGGAGGATCTTGGCAAGTTTGAGGCCAGCCTAGGATACATGGTGAGTTCAGGGCCAGCCTCACCTCATATCATAGTGAGACCCTGTCTCAAAAGAAAAAAAAAAAGCAAATGAAACATAAGACAACTGGGAAATACCGTATTGACATGTAACAAGAAAAAGTCTTTCAGAAGCTAAATTTAAGAGATGGTATATATCTACAAGTAGACTTTCTTTAGTAATTTGACAGTCATTTCTATAAATCTGATGTCTGTTTAAACACATATAAGTTAAAAGTAGCTGATAGTTAAAAAATATGAAAGTGCTACATTTTGACAGTTTGCCTGTTTCATAAAAATCTGTATCATATAATTGATTTAAACTAAAACTTTCCAGGCATTGTGATCATCTTGACCTGCTGAAGTTCAGAGGGCTGACCACTTCAAACTGTGTAGCCTTCCCTTGTATCATATATAAATATTATACATTTTTGTGTACCTTGAAGAGAATAAGTCTAGTCTGAGCCACTTCATTAAAGAACAACTACATTTGGAAGAATGCAACATTTCCTCAAATCTAACATACATGATTTTTCAATTTTTAAAACTCTGAAAAATGAAGATGCATCTCAAAACTGAAATACACATTTAGTATATTTTTTCTCAGAACCTTTTAGGTTGACATACAACTGACACAGTGTTTTATTTAATTAAGAGAAAACTATAGTTTAAAGTACTACTAGTCTTTCCAGAGAGCATACTAACTTTTCTGAGCCTCAGTTTCTTCGTATGTTAGAGACTTAAACAACATAATATCTAGGGTCCCTTTATCTCTGATATTTTGTCTTTGTAGATTAATAAGTTTCCCTTACTAAAAACAACCCAACATTTCAAACCTTTTATGTACAAAAATTTAGTAGATATGCAAATCTTACATGAACATTAAAAACATTCTGTTCTCTATATAACTTTCAATTACTTATTTCTTATCTGGTTTGTTATTAGAGTGGTGTAGGCAGTGACAGAGAAGAAACTCAAAATTCTTAGTTCAAAGGCTACTGCCAGCCACAGGGCTGTCATGACCCATGCAGGAGGCAGGAAGAGAGAGGGCTTGCACACCCCACTGCTGCCATCTCTTGATGCCACCCCAGGCCTTGCAGGACTTCAAGGGAGACAGGAGGAAAGCGGCCAAATCACCGAATCCTAGCCAGCTCTGCTTCTGGGTTCTCCACAGCATTGGACAGCATAGGTGACACCATAAGACTGACCGATTGAAGACAAGTCCAATACCCAGTAGAAGAGTTATACTCAGGCACTGAAATATTACCTTTCCACAGAGACCGGGTGAGACAGCCTTGGGAGACAGGCTTGGAAAGGGTGAGAGCTAAACAGGGTTATCTTGGGATCCCCTGGGAGGCTCGGACTCAAGCCAAGAAGATTCTGGAACCTGTATTCTACTTTGGAAGGCCAGGTTGGGTGGACATAATCATCAGAGGGAGTGAACCTGAATTAGATGGCATTTAGTCCAGTGGTACGCTTGAGCTCTTGCACCATTGTCTAAATCTAGCAGAAATAAGTGACCTAAATTACTTTCGGTCAGTATCTCGGCAGCTTAAGTGTCTTCAATAAAATCATAGATCTCTTAGCTCTGGTTAAGGGCAGTTCATGCATGTTTCTTAGGATTTGTCAGTACCCAGTTGATATTTGATGCCAGTGTCATCATTAACTTCACTAATATAGTCAAGGTGACATAGTTGTTGCTGGAAATTGGTTTTCACTGTATGCCAATATCTGGATTGCCTGGGGAGTCATAAATAATACTGGGGCTCATTCCTGAAGAACCAGGCAGTGGGCCAAAGAAGCAACAAACTGTAGCACAAAAAACAAACAAACAAAAAATAGAAACATGAAAAGACAGGGCAACAAAATGCCCCTCAAAACTGTCAACTCCCCCAAAACCAGTTTGGGGGCATTGAGGAAAAGAAATCATAAGCCACACACACGGCAGAAAGGTCTGAAAGGATATCAATGGAGGTAAAACAGTTCAATAAAGTGATTGGTGAATTTAAAGAAATTATAAATAATCAGGTAATGACTCTAATGAAACAAATCATCAGTGAGTGTAGAGAAGACATTAATAATAATCTAGAGGAGCTAAAGAAAGGAATTTAAAATATGAATGGTCAGCATAGAAATAAATGAGAGTCCATAAAAAAGTTCCAAACAGAAATACAGGAGATAAGAAATATGATTGAAAGTATGGATAGCAGAAGTGACCAGTATGAAGATAGAGTGTCATATCTAGAGGATAGAGCTGTGGTCAATGATCAGCTAATGAAAGATACTTAAAAACAACATGAGAACATGAAAAATGGATCCAACAGCCACTGGATGCCCCAAAGAAGACTAACATAGCTAATTGGAATTAATAAAAAATCAGAAGACAGCACAAAGGACATAAAACACCTGTTTACAAAAATAATGGAAAATTTTCCAAATGTGGAAAAGGAATTTAACATACAGATAAGTGAGGCATATAAAACCCCAAATAGCTATGATCAGAAAAAAAACACTCAATACTACATAGCAATTAAAATATCACAAATCCAACGTGAGAGCAGAATCTTAAAGGCTGCTAAAGAATAATAGTAAACTACCTATAAAGGAAAACCCATCAGAATTACAACAGACTTCTCACGACAAACCTTAAAGGCAAGGAGATCTTGGAATGAAGTGTTTAAATCTCTAAAAGAAAACAACTTCCAAACCAGACTATTATATCCTGAAAAATTATCTTTCAAAATTGATGGAGAGATAAAATACTTCCATGATAAATATCACTTAAATAAATTCATGACCACCAAACCAATACTCAAAAAATATTGTCAAGGATATCCTAGAAAGAGACGAAAAGTGAATGATGTCAAAATGTCCAATGGAGTGAATGAGATCGCAATTACAAAGAAGGGAAAGGAAGCAAAGCAGCAACAGGTAAATAAAATGACAGAAATAAGTCAATACCTGTCAATTATAGCTATGAATGCAAATGGTCTCAATCTGCCAGTCAAAAGACACATATTAGCAGAGTGGACCAAGAAACAAAATCCAGTGTTGTGCTATAACAAGAAACACATTTAATACAAAAAGAAATTCACAGACTAAAACTTGACCTACTGCCAACATCATATTAAATGGGGAAAGGCTACAAGCCTTCTCTCTAAAATCAGGAACAAGACAAGTGTGTCCACTATCACCACTCCTGTTTAACATAGTCTTTGAATCATTAGCGAGAGCAATCAAGCAAGAGAAAGACACAAAATGGATACATATAGGAAAGGACAAAGTCAAAGTAATCATTATTTGCAGATTATGTAATCCTTTACTTCAAGACCCAAAAAAACCTCCACCAAGAGTCCAAGAATTAATAACCACATTCAGCAATGTACCAGGATACAAAACACACACACACACGCACACACACACGCACACACACATGCATTCCTATGCACTCGTAATGAACTTACTGAAAAAGAAATTAGGAAAACAATATCCTTCACAGTCTCATACAAAAAAATTACTTAGGAATTACCCTAACCAAGGAAGTGAATGACCTCTGCAATGAAAATTACATCACACTGAGAAAGAAAATCAAGGAGGAAATGGAAAGATATCCACTGTTCCTAGATGGGCAGAACCGATATAATCAAAATGGCTATGTTTCCAAAACTGATATAGAAATTTAATGCAATCTCAATCAAAATACCAACCGCATTCCTCACAGATCTAATGAAAACAATCCTAAATTCATATGGAACAAGAGACTCAGAATAGTCCTTGGTAACAAATGCAAAGCAGGTGGCATTACAATCCCAGACTTGAAGTTATATACACTATAGAGCTACAGTAATTAAAACAGCAAGGTGCTGACACAAAAACCGGCATGTGAATCAATGGAATAGAGTAGAAGAAACAGAAATGCATATAGCTATTTAATCTTTGACAAAGGGGCCAAAAATATGCACTCCGTGAAAGATAATCTCTAAGCTATGGTGCTGAGGAAACTGGATATCCACATGCAGAAGATTGAATCTACCTAGACCCATATATCTCACCATGTACTAAACTAAAATGAAAATGGATCAACAAACTAAGTGTTAAAACAGAAACACTTAATCTACTGGAAGATAAAAAAGCTACAACTCTTGAAGACATAGGCACTGGCAAGGACTTTTGGAACAGAACCCCAATGGCATAAGAAATAATACTGAGAATGAACAAATGGAATCATATCAAATTAGTAAGCTGCTTGGAGTATCATTTTCATCCTTTCAGTCTGTGTATATTTTTATAGGTGAGGAGTGTTTGTGTTAGGCAACATACAATTAAGTCTTATTTTTTGATACAAATCTGCCCATCTATGTCTTTTAATTGGATAATTAAGAACTTTACCATTAAGCGTTATTACTGAAAGATATGTACTAATTCCTATCATTTTGTTGTTTTTCTAGTGTTTGGTTCATTCTTGATATTCATTTTGTTTATCTGCTCTCCCACTATGGTTTATTCCTTCCCTGGGTCCCATCCTTGTGACTTCTTCTGTGTTTAAGATTCCCCTAAAGTACTTTCTTCAATGCTGAATCAGTAGTCACGAATTTCTTTAGTTTTCACTTATCTTGGAAGGTCTTTACTTCTCCTTTATTTTTGAAGGACAGGATACTAGTATAGTAATCTGGGTTGGCAATTATTTTCTTTCAGGGCTTAAAATAAAGCATCCCACCCCCCACCCCCCACCCCGGCCTTTTGAATGTCTGTTGAGAAATCTGGTGTGATTCTGAGAGTTTTGCCATTGTAGGAAAATTGGTGTTTCCAATCACTTTTAATATTCTTTCTATGTCTTCAGTGTTTAGCAATTTGACTCTGATATGCATGGAGAAATTCTTTTCTGGTCATTTCTATTTGGGGTTCTAAATGCCTCCCATACCTAGGTATCTATCTTATTCTCTACATTTGGGAAATTGTCTGCTGTAACATCGGTGAATAGGTTTTCTTTGCCATTAGACTGTACTTCTTCACCCTCCTTGATACTAATGAATCTTAAATATGTTCCTTTAGAGTTGTCCAAGTGCTCTTGGATAATCTTTTCATTATTTGTTCTTTTTTTCTTTATTGATGTCTGAATGTCCTAGTAATCCACCCTGTCTTTAAGCCCTGACATTTTTTTTTTCATTTATCTTGAGTATTGCTAAGGCTTTCAACTGAGTTTTTAATTTGACTAGTTGATTGGTTCACTTCCAGGATTTCTGTTTGCTTCTTTTTCAGAACCTGTATCTCTTTGCTGAAGTGCTCTTTTATATCCTGTATTGTATTAGTTCATTCAGCTGTTTATGTGTCTCTTTAAGTTCAATGATCATTTTAACTGTCAGTTTATGTAAAAAAAGAGTACTAGTTTTAATTCCTAGCACTGCAATAAATACCAGTACTGACAACTTCTAAAGAACTTCTAAAAAACTTGCTTAAAATGTTTACTATTTAACTAATCCTGCAAAAGAAAGAGTAATAATGTACAATAGGCTAGAAAAAAAAGAAAAAAAATCTATACTTTAATGGTAATATTTATATATAAGAAAAGAGGATGAGAGAGGGGAGATTTGAGAGGGTATGAGACGGGAAGGAAAAAAGACAAGGGAAGGGAATATAAATAGAAAATGAGAGATGATATAGGGAGATTAGATCCAATTAATTAACTAGCAAAATCACAAAATTAGGAAACCCTATGAAACAACCCTTGGTGTAGAACATGACAAAACAAGGTAATACATAATAGAAGCAAAAGCAGTAACACTTGTATACATTTACATATATACATATTCCCCCAATATGCACCAAAAAAGGGAAAAAATATAGACAGGTCCAATACTCAAAACCTTGTAGTGGTATTTCTATTGAAGACAATAGTTTCCCTCAGGCATCTATTGCTGGATACTTCCTGATAAAAAGGGGGTAAGTGAAAAAATAATTTTTTAAGTCCAGCATTTTCCTTCTCCACCTCTGTCCAAGTAGGAGAAGGCACTTAAATCAGTCTGGAGGCTCAGCTCCTCCCCTCTGTGGTTGTAAATGAGTACTCCTAGGTCTGTCAGTGGCCAGACTGGCCCACACTCACCAGCTCAGTCTCCTCCAGGATTGAGCACACTGCAAAAACCCAAGCTGTCCACCAAGTCTCTCACTCACATAGTCAATAGGTAGTTCTGGACTGTGGGCCAAACCTCCGTAAAATTACCAGATTGCCTCCTAACCCAGAGGAGTGGGTTGAGCACTCAGGGCCTGTGTTTGGTCTAGAAGCCATAGTTGCTTAGCCTTGCTAGTCCCCACAGCAGCACCTCTGCAGGAAAATGCCCCCTCCCTCACCCCAGGCACCACGTGGCTGAACTCTTTTCCTGCCACAATATTCAAACTGCCATTGTTTCTTGCTTCCTGTCTCTTTCTTCCTTTTTTTCTTTTCCTTCCTCCTCAGGCCATGCACTGGGCCTTTCTCCTTCCAGTGATTTTTGTTTTTCTGTGTCACAATCACTCTTACCCTGCACCCAAGCTAACTATTAGGGTGAATGACTGCTGCCTCCCTGGTGGAGCTAAGTGAGGGTGTTACTTAAAATGGCTTTCCTTTCCAGTTCTGTTCAAGTTTGTGCCTGATGTGCATTCAAATGGGGATGGGGTGTGTGTGATCTTTTAAAATGCCCTACCTTGTCTAAATCTAGACTGAGGAACTGGGAATCATCACTGTCATTTGGCCAAACTCATGTTTCCTTTCTGCACAGGCTTTGTCTCTTTACAGTATCAAGATCCATCCTCACAAGAATATGCTGAATTTTTTCTTTTAGCACCATACTAGAAGAGAGTTTCTCCTTCCTCACTGAATGTCCATTGTTCAGTGCCACAGTGCATTATCTCTATTCCTTTACTTAACTTTCTAAATACCAGTATTTCTGGGTTTTATCTGGTTGCTAGCTCTCTGAAGTTGCAATCCAGCAGTTTTGTGTGGTTTCCCCACCTCCTCAGCAGGAGCCATATACTTGTTGGTTTGGACAAATATCCTGGATCAATTAGTGAGTGCAGGCTACCTGTAGTCTGGCATCATTAAGAACCCTAAATAAAATTTCTATAATATTCTTCGGTAGGGTATTATTTTTATTGTTATTGGTTGTCATTTGTTTCAAGGACATTATTTCTTCTTATAGGGTCCTCCTGGACTTCCTGGATTTCCAGGGACACCGGGTCTTCCCGTAAGTATAATCTGGGTTTTTATTTTAAAATCCCTTAAGTATTGGGGATGTAGCTCAATACAGTGCTTTCCTAGCATGTGTTAGGCCCTGGTTCCATCCCCAATGCTTCAAATAAATAATTAAATAAATAATACCCTCACACTAATTTAAAACATGTTATATATGTGTTATATCCTTTTTCAAAGGGAATGCCAGGCCATGATGGAGCTCCTGGTCCTCAAGGTATCCCTGGATGCAATGGAACCAAGGTGAGATTTCTTTGACTTAATATTAGGTAGTATCCTTGATAATCAATAGACTTAAAACTTCACAGAAATTAATACAATGAATCTTAAAACCGATATATAGTGGCTTCATGTCTAGGACATAGGGTAGGTTCTGACTTAACATTTTCAATACTGTATATTAAACACCCATAGTTTCTTTAAGCATGTGTAATTAGCAGGGATATTCCATTGGGTTAAAGATTACTTATAAATCGCTTTTTTGTCTTGGTGCAAGGTGGGATGAGAGTTTATATGTTTCAGATATTAAATCAGTTGTTAAGAGTACTTCATGGAGCCAGGTGTGGTGATACATGTTTTTGTAATTCCAGCTCTCTGGGAGGCTGAGGCAGGAGAATCAAGAGTTCTAGCCTAACCCAAACAATTCAGCAGGACCTTGTCTCAAAATAAAAAAGAAGCTGGAGATGTAGTTCAGTGTTAAGGCCTTGGGTTCAACCCCCAGTACCACCAAAAAAATGGTAATTTAGGGCAATGTTATTTATTTTTCCTTTTTAAGAAAAGCTGGGTGCAATTAAATTTGGAAATATTTCATGTTTTAACTTTTTTTAAGTTGCTAAAGATTTTAGTATGAAACCTGAAATTCTCTTCCATCAGCAAAAATAGTTGATTTAAAAATTTGAAAAGAAAAACAAAGCTTTAGATATGGGAAATATTTTTTCCCTGACACTTTTTTTTTGTCTTTAGTTAACTGTTTGGGTTTTTTATAAAATGATAGATAACAAGAAAAAAAATGGGAACAATCTGCTATTCTTCAAAACTTACATATAGCCTCAGTTCTTATCCAATCACTTTTCTCTTTGTCCTTTGGGTTAATGTGAAATATTATTATTCTCATTATTTCCTTTTGGCATTTTCCATTTGACACATAACATTCTGTGAAACTATTTGTGAAACACCCTATATCTTTCTAACTAATGGCATATGCCTAGTTGTATATTAGGGCACATATTTAAACAAACTTTTGTGTTATAGTGGCTATATTTCTCATAATACTGTAGTATATACTTGAAGACAATACAATTCTCTTTATCTTGGTATTTCACCAGATCATTGTGTACCTTTACCAAAAATAATAATAGTTTCTTTTTAAATGTTTGCATTTGTGAGACTTACTTGTGTTCTTCATTTCATCTGGGGCAACTTGTAGTGTAGGACCAATGGGAATTTGCATGACAAATTTCATGTTAAAATGTGTTTTGTTTTGTTTTGTTTCGTTTTGAGACAGGATTTTCCTAGCAGTTCGGGGTCACCTTGAACTTACCATGTAGCTCAGGCTGACCTCAAAGTGGCTTATATTCTTGTGCCTATTCTATTTGTTTATGTAGTTTTTTTGTCAGCATACCTTAAGCAACAAATGGACCACTAGGGAAAGTTTTAAATTTGAAGCCCAACTGTAGGTACAGTATGTGTAGAATGCAATATGATTAAAGGGATTTATTTTCCTTTTGTAAAACAACTGCTTAGCAAATCTAATGATTAAGTTTTGGTTTTGCCCACCAATTATGTGAGCAGCAAGTTTTTTAAAAATTAAATGCGTTTATTACCTATACTTTCAGATTAGATTATTTTCTTACATTTCTCACTGTATAAGAAAATAATGAACCCTAGAGTTGGAGCTACAATGTATGGGTTCTTTTTTCCTTTCTTCTAAATTTGATGTACAGGCTATTTCCTGTCTGGGTCTACTTTTTTCATATGTAAAAAGTGGTAGGGCAAGGGGTATTGGACAATTATGCAAAAGCACATAGACTTAGTAATTTTACTCTTTTAAACCTTCTGATATGACTGTTTCCAGGATTACTACAGCATGTCGATATTTGAAAGAAGGATGCATTAGGGTTCTTGTGCAGCAGTTTTTGCTTTTGACTTCTAAACCAAATGTCCATATTAGTAAGTGAGAAAAATTGGGTGCCTAGAAAACACAATGATCTGAAATTGCAAGGACTGTTGCTATTGTTCTCTTGATGATATTAATGCCCTTCTTTGTAACCATCTTTTCCTCTTTGCAAAAATAATTTGAAATAGTTCACAATAAAAGAAAAAATATATAGGGCAGTTAAAATAATAATCTATATAACAAATAGGCAGGAAATTGGGGCAAATCATTAACTATTGAATGTCATTAAAGTCAAGAATCTGGTGTGATAATGTCAAAATGGATTTGTCAGAAAATGACTAGGGTAGAAATTTTTTTTCTTTATTTCTGATTAGGATGGATGAATAGGGACAAAACCATCTTGGGTTGAATTAGTATGGACAGTTGATATTTGAAATAATTTAAAAGTGAAAAATAAATTTGTGGCAATTTGGTATATTTCAAAATGGCTTTTACAGAAATCTTTTCACTATGTCATTGTTTGTTGATACATTCTTTGTTTCTTGTTCCTTTATGCTATTTATTTTAACTTCTTTTAGGGAGAACGTGGATATCCAGGCAGTCCTGGTTTTCCTGGTTTACAGGGTCCTCCAGTAAGTTGTAAAATTCAAATATAATGAGCATAGGAATTGATGGAAGAAGCAGAAGTATAAAGAGTGAGCTCAGTGCGTTCGTGTGGAACAAAATAGAATATTTTAAAGTATTGAACTAGAGAAATTTTTTTAAAAGAAATTGTATGATAGCTGTCTGCTGAGAAAAACCAAAGATTCTATAATATTTAATATTAATGTTATCTCTAAGTATTCTAAAACATATAATGTTCAGAAATGATCTTACATTAGTTTATTCAGTTTTTATCATTTTTAGAGAGTGCTGTGTTCTCCTCTCAAATATATAAAATAATCTATTTTCTTTTTAATAATAGGGACCTCCTGGGATCCCTGGTATGAAGGTAAGCATCTCATGCTGAGAATGTAAACATTTTCAATAATATATTTGGAAAGGCTGAAGCTTTAATGACTTAGACTTCATCTTAAAATGGATGCTTCTAGAAATTGTGCAGATACAAACATAGCTTTCCTTAAGTAATCTTCACTGTTCTTATGGCTTTAAGTACATTCTCAATGCTGTATATCAGACTCAAGTATTTTTCTGACCCCCCCTCATTCATCATCTTACTACATTTTGATACAGTTGATGATTCTGTTCTCTTCAGAAGTACTCTTTTCTATGACAGCCTACTTTCCTGCATCTCTGATTATTCTGTAGTTTTCTCTGAAAGTTCATTCTGCTCTATCCAGCAAGCATCAAGAGATAGTCCTGACACCTTCTTTCCTCTATGCCAACAATATTAATGACTGTAGTATTGATGATTATATAATTACTGAATGCCTACATTTATATCTTCAGATCAGACTTTTCTGAGTTAGATGCATGTGTGCAACTGCCCCCTTAACATCTTCACACAAATATCTCCAGACATTCAAAGTAATGCCCACCCAAAGTAAAGCTGTCCTTCAATCTGTTACCCTGTATCTCCAATTTTCATCACTATATGTTATGTACACTTTTACATAAACTCAAAACCTGAAACATAGTGTTCACATCTTTCACAGTTTCACACACTTACTCATTCTATTCTACCATGGAATACTATTACGTTTGCCTGTAAATGTATCTTAAATTCATTCACTTTTCTCCGTCTCCAGTCACCACACTAATCATAATATCTCATCTGAAGTACTGCAGTAACCTCTTAACTAGTCTTTTCTCACCATTATCCCCCACATCCCACCTGATTAAGCAATGAAGAATGATCATTATAAAATGTACATCAATAATTTAATCTCCCTACTTATAAAAGCTTCCCACTGTGTGTCTAAAAGAAAGTCTGCATTCTTTTCCATAGCTTGTAAGACCTACATGTACTGGTCCTTGCCTAATTTACAGCTTTATTCTAAACCACTTTTTCCTTGGGTCACTGCTCACACTAGTCTGCAATCAATTATTTCAAGTGTGCCAAACTCTGCTTTTGGAGTCATTTGTACATACTCTGCCTGTCACTTTTCCCTCCATCTTTACCTGGCTGGCCCCATATTGTCCTTCAGGTCTCAACCTGAATATTACTTTCACAGATTGCCTTTCTTTGACCACCCATGCTAAAGTGATTTTTCTCCACTATGTCTTTATCATTCACTGTACCATGTTGTTTTTCTTCACAGTCCTTGACAAAATATGATAACATTATTTGTTTACATATTATGACCTGCATTTCTCCATTATATTGTTAACCCATGAAACAGAGACCTTGTCTATTTTCTTCATTACTGAATATCCAGAGCCTAACACAATTTGTGGCAAATAGTTAATATTTAATAAATATTTTAATGAATGATTAATGGAATATACTATAAGCCAGGATGGTGAACTTGTGGCACACATGCTGCAGCGGACTGTTGTATCATGGAAAGGTCTAAAAGGTTTGCCATCATGGCTATAGGCTCTTGATAAATCTATTGTACTCCAGTGCACTCTGGCTTCTTCTTCATTTTCCTTTAAAAGGTAAATTTATTCAATAAATTACTGAGCTGCTTTAATATTTCACTATACTTTTGTGACAAATTGAAATGTCAGATCATTATTTGTGCTCTTACCAATTTTCATGTTTAATAACTGCTATGACATATGTGTGCATGTTTTTTGTAGGGGGAACCCGGTAATATAATTATGGCATCACTGCCAGGACCAAAGGGTAACCCAGGATATCCAGGTCCTCCTGGAATTCAAGTAAGCATCCAGAGATTTTCTTCTTTGCTGTATGATTAAATAAAATCACAGCAACTCCTCAAATCTTAGTAGCATCTATTTAGTCATAGAAATCATATCATGTTTGCTAGACTTTGCATGTATCTTCTATCTGTAAATAAAAGCATTTTGGACCAGAGAGAATTTGAATAAACTATGTTCTTTTATCTTTTTGACCAGTGTTCATGGAAACTTTTGTGTTTGGCAAATGTTCATCAACATATGTACTTATAGTATATATAAATTGTGCAATATCTATGCAGTACTTCTAGCACTTAAAAAATTACCTCCTGATACATATTGTAATATGAATTAGTGAAAATATACTACATTAAAAAACTATATAGGAAAGATTACACAATTTATGTTGACATTTATATGGAGGCCTGGGAATTGCAAAACTATAATTATAGAAAGTAGACTAGTGGGTTCCAGTATACAGAGGACTCATAACTGACTCCAAAGGGGCATGGATCTATTCTGAGAATGTGAAAAAATAACGTGAGCACATATAAACCCAACACAACATTTGAGAATTAGAACACTACATGAGCCAGGGATTTAGCTTAGTGGCACTATGCCTGGCTCACACGCACAAGGTCCTGAGTTCAATTCCTAGTACCAAAAAAAAAAAAAAAAGAAAACAGGATTAGAACACTACAGATAGTTTTGAGTCAACCTGTGTTTTTCTTAGCAGTCACATTCTTCCTCATCTCCACAAGATACATCAACCATCCTGAGTTTTCTATTGAAAAAGAAAAATAGCTTCTTCAATATACATATTTTCCTAAGCAACAAAGTATTTAATTTAGCTTTATAAAATAATGTAATATTTATATAATTTTCTGCAATTTATCTTTTCTATTTGATATAAGATCCATCCATATTATTGTATGCAGCCATAGTTCAATCATTTTTACTTCCATGTGACTTTCCATTTGTGAACATATTAAAATTTGTTTCATTATAAAATAATCTAGGATTTATAACTAGGTATAGATTTGCAGGTTTACAAGACAAGCATATGTTCAGTTTGTGAAGATGCCAAATTGCATTCCATAGCACTTTTATTATTTCCTCATCACTTGTCTCAGTTATTCTCAGTTCTCTCTTTGTCTTTAATCTTATTTTAAAATTAGAGAGGCTTCCTTCAAAGGAAGATTAAAGGGCTGGAGATTTAGCTCAGTGGTTCTGTCGCCTGCCTCACAAGCGGAAGGTCCCGAGTTCGATCCCTGGTACCAAAAAAAAAAAAAGGAAGATTAAAATTAAGATTAAAAATTAGAGAGGCTTCCTTCTGATTTCTAGCAAAAAAGCCCTATTAATGTTTGCCTACCTTTATTGATTTGCTTTGTAGAATTTTCTTATGTTTGTCCTGCATTTTTTTCTACCATTGTAAAAACTTAAGCTTTCTGAAAGCTGTATTTATTCTATTTAGTTGAATTCCTTTATAATTTTTTAACCCTTTTATTTGTATAGATTTTAAAATTCAACTTATAATACTTACTGTAGAATTACAAAATTGTAAAACAAAATTCTGGTGACCACTTAAATTTAAACTCTATCCATTTTGTTCTTTGTAAAAGAGGCTTTAGTTTTGGGTTTGTTTTATGTTTTTATTCTATCTTTCATCCTTTTCTTTACTCCATTTATTACAGGGCCCAGCTGGTCCAATGGGAATACCTGGGCCAACTGGTCCTCCAGGACCGCCAGGTTTGTTGGTAAGCTTCTTCTGTAATTTTATTTCTCTATTCTTTCTGACTCCTTTCACAAATATTAATATTACTTATAATACTAATGGTTGCTATTGCACAGTGTTTTTATTTAAATGGAATGATATTCATATATTCAGTTTGCATCTATTTTTAGTGT